GGCATAACTGAGTGAGTGCCTCCAGTGGGGCACCCGTTTGTTGAAAAATCTCAATGGGTATTCCCTCAATTCCTGGAGCCTTGTTCTTCACCAATTCCTTCAGTGTAGCTTCAACTTCTTCCTTCAGTGCCATTGGTTCTTGAACATATGTCACCTCCTGAAAAGGATGAACACCAATCAATTCTTTTTGGTACAGAGACTCTGTATATTTCTTCCACTTTATTTAATGCTTCCTGCATCATTCAATATTTTGTCCATAGACTTCTTCAATATTGCAACTCAAGGCTTAAATTTTTTCCTCAGTTCTTTCAGCTTGAGAAATGCTGAGCCTGTTCTTACCTTTTGTTTTTCTAACTCCAGGTCTTTGCACATCATTTCATTGTAGTAATTGGCTTTGTCCCTGGAGCTGCTCTTTCAAATCTTCTGTTCAGCTCTTTTATCTCATCATTTCTTCCATTTACTTTAGCTACTCTCCACTCAAGGGTAAGTTTTAGAGTCTCTTCTGACATCCATTTTGGTCTTCTCTTCCTTTCTCATCTTTTGAATTATCTCTTGCTTTCTTCATGGATGATGTTCTTGATGTCATCCCACAATTCTTCTGGTTTTCAGTCATTTGTGTTCAACACATCAAATGTATTCTTTAGATAGTCTCTAAAATCAGGAGGCATATATTTAAGGTCATAATTTAGCTCTCATGGACTTGTTTTAATTGTCTTCAATTTCAAGTTGACTTGCATATGAGCAGTTGATGGTCTGTTCCACAATCAGCTCCTGGCCTTGTTTTGGTTAAAGATATTGAGCTTCTCCATCACCTCTTGCCACAGATGTAGGCAATCTGATTCCTGTGTACTCCATCTGGTGAAGTCCACATGTATAGCCATCATTTGTGTGTTGTTGAAAAAAGGTATTTGCAATGAATAAGCCACTGATCTTGCAAAATTTTGTCATGTGATCTCCAGCATTATTTCTGTCACCAAGGCCAAAATTTCCAACTACTGGTGATTCTTCTTTGTTTCCAACTTTTGCATTCCAGTCACCAGTGATAATTAACACATCTTAATTACATGTTCGACCAATTTCAGATTACAAAAGTTGATAAATGTCTTCAGTTTCCTCATCTTTGGCTTTGGTTGTTGGTGCACAAATTTGAATAACAGTAGTATTAACTGGTCTTCCTTGTAAGCATATGGATATTATCCAGTCACTGACAGCATTGTACTTCAGGATAGATTCTGAAACATCCTTTGTGATGATGAATGTCATGCCATTCCTCTTCTAATTGTCTTTTCTGACATAGTAGATCATGTGGTTGTCTGATTCAAAATGGCCAAAACAGGTCCATTTCAGCTCATTAATGCCTAGGATATCAATCTTTATACATTCTATTTCATTTTTGACAACTTCCAATTTTCCTAGATTTGATGTTTTGAATTTTACTCTGTAAATTTGCACCCAGAAAAACAATATGCACTGCCATCAAGTTGGATCCCACTCATAGCAACCTTTCCTTGGGTTTCTGAGGCAGTATCACTACAGAAGTAGATTGCCCAAACTTCCTCCTGAGGAGTGGCTGATGGGTTTGAACCACCAACCTTCTGGTTAGCAGTCAAATGCTTTAGGCACTATGCTATCAAAGTTCCCTTGCACCCAAAGCACAGTTTATTAAAAAAGAAAGAAAGAAAAAAAAAACCTATCAACCATTATTTGAGTAAAACTTCCTTCCTGGTTTGTAGTTGTTAGTAAGTGAAGTGTTTGGAGAAAATAGTAAAATGAACAAAATAGCTTCATATTAAACACCTATTATTTGCTGAACATTGGGTATTTTTTACAGAATTTACTATATTTCTTTAAAGCCTTTGTGTATAATTATTATCCCATCCTACACAAAGAAGCCCACAAAGTGCTTGGTGTGTTTGAGACACCATTCTTTTGGTTAGCAGCCCAATGTTTTAATCATAGCACCACCAGATCTCCCTATGTGCACCCACAGTAAAGGTCTTTTACCATCATCACTGCATCTATAACCCTGTATGTGATTGTTTGCTCACTGTCCATCTCCCCTGCTCAGTGAGACACAGAAACCATGTTTATCTTGCTTAACTTCATACACATGATGTTTAGCACATGGTAAAAGTCTAATAACACATAGTAAGACTCTAAGAAACATCTGTCAAATAAATGAATGAGAATCCCAAAGATTGTGTATGCTCTAAGTACATTAGCAAAAAAAAAAAAAA